GGAGGCAGAAGCAGCAGGCGCCACCGCTACGTGGAGGTCTAGGAAGGACTTAGGTCTGCTTCTCCAACGTAGAACTTTTTGTCCAAATCCTGCCTCTTCTCTGGCTTCCTCTGGAGCATGGATGGACTCACTATCTGGCAGCACAAACCCAAATGGAGGAGTAACTAACCGCCGATGGCCCTCTTACACACACACACACACACACACACACACACGCCCCCAGACCCAACCTATCATCACTTCCTGTTGACTCCGGTGCAACCAGTGATCCGTGCCTGCCAGCCCCATGCTTCCGTATGTCCACCTCCCTCTCTTTCTAGAACACTGTGATAGCCTCTAACAGGGGAAGGAGGGGCTCATTCCATTCTTGCTCCCTCTAGCCTCGTCCCCCTGGAGTAATCCTTGGGGGGAGGGGGGGATTGGACCATGTCACCTCCCTGCTTAAAATCCTTCTATGCTCCCCATTGTGGTCAGGATAAAATTTAATTCCTGAACACTGCCCTCCATGAGCCCTGACTGAGCTTCTCTAACATCTTTTCCTTTTCCTTTTTTTTTTTTAATGTTTTATTTATTTCTGAGAGACAGAGAGAGACAGTGTGAGCAGGGGAGGGTCAGAGAGAGAGGGAAACACAGAATCCTAAACAGGCTCCAGGCTCTGAGCTGTCAGCACAGAGCCCGACGCGGGGCTCGAACCCACAAACCGTGAGATCATGACCTGAGCCGAAGTCTGACGTTTAACCGACTGAGCCCCCCAGGCGCCCCTTAACATCTTTTCCTACTCCCCCCGCCACCTGCCCACCTGCATCAGCTTCACGCTTACTGCACGACCAGCAATATGCTTTACCCTCTCTGCTCCTGGAGCACACCAAACTTCTTCCCGTCTCTGCAGCTTTACACCAGAAGGTTCTTCCTCAAGGTCCTGCAAAACTGGGTCCTTCCCGTCATTCAGTTCAAAACTACCTCCTGAGATAGATCTTTCATAACCGACCAAGTTCACTTGAACTCCCCCCACCTGAGATGTCCCACCATTACATCAATGTGTTTTGTTCTACATACAGCACTTAGCATCTGAAATAATCTTGTTTACTAAGTAATGGGGTTTATGGTCTCCATTTCCCCGCCCCGTCCCCTGGGAGGGTTAATTCCACTGAAACAGAAAACATTTCTTTCTTGTGGATTGCTGAACCACCAGTGCCCGTTCCTGGATGTTGTCTTCAAACTTAAAGATAAGCTGAGGAGACACCGTGGGGGAATTTACAGAGTGTTAATAAGAGGTGAATGTTATAGGGTCGTCAAGTAACACTGGGAGCTCGTTGAAGGCAGATAGCATCAGCTGGGTATTTCCCAAGACTTTCCCCGGCTACCCCCGCCGGCCCGGGGAAGTGCAGAAAGGAAGATGAGGAGAAACTAACCTGAGCAGAGACGTGGTGGACAGAGCCAAAGGTCAAAGGATTTTGATATCGCTGAATGACCAAGAAAGCAGCTCGGAAGGGGACCCCAGCTGAGCGCTGATGGATTAGGATGGATTAACACACACAGGCCAAGGACCCAAAGTAGCAAACGGCAGGGGATCTGGTACCCTTGGCTCAATGGATGAATCACCTTGGAGGTCGGAACGCTGAGGTCCAAAGGCAGGAGCTCTGAATTGGAGATCGGGATGGTGAGGCGTGAAACCCCCCAGTCCGTCCCTGCGCTGCTGCCAGGACCACCCCCGCCCCCACCCAGAGGCTGCCTCCGGGGTTCGGCTCGGCAGCCCCTCGGGGACCGGCTCAGCTCATGCAGGTGTGGCCCTTCCTCTGGGTGACTCAACGCTTCTGCAATTATCATCTTGGCTAAAGATGTAAATAGCACATCCCTGAAATACTAAAGTGGGGGAGACACCATCCATAAAAGTTCATCCTTGAGTGCCTGCAGACTCTCCCTAAGGAATTTTGTTTCCTCCCAACTCCTCTTAACAGGGTTATCAGAGCTCAGGAGGAAAAGGGGGTAAAGGCTATGAATGGCGAACAAGCACTGAGTCCCAATCTGGACTCCGTGACAAGAGAATAAAACAGATTAGAGGTAATTTTTCCTCCTGATTTACAGAGAAGGGGTGTGGATCCAGCCCAACTGTGGAAGGGGCTGGGTCAGGCTGCTACCTCGTCTCTCAGGAGTACTACTCAGGAAAGGGGGGAAGGAGGGTGGGGTTCCAGTTGGGGGATCCCAGATGTGGCAAGTGAAATTACAGGACTCCCAGTCCAAAGGAATTTCAGACACACAATGGATTTTTTTAGTGTACGCATATGCCCCGTGCAACATTAGTCTACTTATCCTAACAATTATCCACTGCATATCCAAAATTCAAATCTGAGTGTCCTGTATTAGGTGCTAGAAGGGAGGACCCCAGCACTAGATCGATCCATTAAACAGAACAAGATTCCCAATGGGCAGTCCTGGGAAAGCCAAGCGTTCTGGGGTCATTCTGAATACGAATGGTGGTGAAGGTCGATGTCCTTATCTTTTCTACTTAAAGCCAAGAGAACTCAAAATCAATCATATAAACACATGTAATACATACACATGTATATATGGCTATATAAATATATTACATAAGTATATTAGGCTTGGCTTTGCAGCTAAATTACAAACTGCTTTGAGGCTTTACCCAATAAAGAGGAAAAAATGCAAGGCAACGGGGCATCTGGGTGGCTCAGTCAGGTGCCTGACTCTTCAAAAAAATGTTTTTAAGTTTATTTATTTTGAGAGAGACAGCTTGAGCAGGGGAGGGGCAGAGAGAGAGGGAGAGGAAGAATCCCTAGCAGGCTCAACACCATCAGCATGGAGCCCAATGCGGGGCCGGAACTCACAAAACCATGAGATCCTGACCTGAGCTGAAACCAAGAATCAGACGCTTAATGGACTGGGCCACCAAGGTGCCCCGCAAATGCCCGACTCTTGATTTCAGCTCAGGTCATCATCTCACAGTTCATGAGTTTGAGCCTCACATCAGCACTTTCAGCATGGAGTCTACTCGGGATTCTCTCTCTCTCTCTTTGCTCCTCCACTTGCTCTCTCTGTCTCTCTCTCATATATAAATAAATAAACGTTTAAAAACGCAAGGCAGTAAGTTAATGAGGCTGAGTTTTGTCGGTTGCTCTGGCTGGAGAAACGGTTGGATGGGTGTGGTAACTTCCCAATTTGTACTCTTCCGGGTTTCCATTATTTTGCCCATCAGAGATCAGGGTTTTCGGAGGGAGAAACAAAACAGCCAACCTCCGAAATAAATTTACTCTCAGGCCTGTGGTGTATCGAAGCTTGTTTTCCATTTGTCACAACCACTTTCCAAGTAACCGTACTACAAAGGATCATGGGCCCGAGAGAGAGAACAAACACAGAGCATCCCTGAATCACTTTTTATTTTGTTCAAGTGGTGACCAAAACCAGGTCATCCTCAATCATAGAAACGCAGACCTGGGCGTTCTGAAACATATGTTAGGTTCTGTTGATATAATTCCTAGAGGCAGTGTTTTTCAAAGCGGAAGAAGGATGGCAAGGAACTTCTCTACCCAACTGAGCATTATGGCCCAATTAATGTCTACAACCCTTGGAAGAAAGGAATGTCTCAACATTATAGTTTCCCCCCCCCCCCCCCCGGCCTCTCTGTAAGAAATTCTTAAAGACCAGCAAATGTCAGCAAGCAGCTTAGCCCTAATCACTGTTCTGCAAAGGAGAAAAAAAGGAAAGACTGTAAAAAACTGCTGTGATAGCTTGCGGAACGTGAGGGTCTGCGAAAGCTATTGCGGAGAAGCCTCACGCAGCTAACTCAACAGTTCTTCCTTTACCAGCCGGGCCGAGGCCGGCTCCAGACTGACCCACTGTCCTCAGTAACCTGTCCCAGCACACCTGTGTGTCTCATGCCACAGGAGCCTAAGAGGGCCGGGCAACCTGGAAGCGACCACACACAGGCCCAGATGGTGAACATCTGGCCAAAAATTAGGAAGAGAAAGAAATCAACTTCTCAAATCCACAGGCAGGTGTTCGGGGCTTCCCAGGGGGCCTGCTTAGGAAGGGAGGGTTCTAAACTGATCCTTAGTTAAGGAACAACACACCTTCCGGAGAAATAATGAGGAATTGATACAGGTCAGCATGAACGAAACAGGTGGCAAGAGCACGGGAGCTCCGCTGTCCACCTTCTCTCGATAACTGCATCATTTCGAAGACGTTTAAATTATTTAGATGATGGTAACCGAGACGTCTTTAATAACCCACCAAACAGCAGGCACCAGGCTGAAATCAATTAGGCTCCACCGCTAAATTATAAGGTAGAAATTTACAGGAGGTCAGCTCTGGGATCGGGACTGAAGGTACACACGCCTGCCAGAGACAATTATGTTAGGAACCAAATGGGCATTGCCTCGTCAGTTAAGGAGCAGAAAAAATGGTCAGGTGCTCCTAAATATAGGGCAATTAAAAAAAAAAATGATAATGAGGAGGCTGGTCCTCTGGGCAGGGTTCTGGGCGGCCAGGAGAAAAGAACAACGGAGGCAGGAACTAATCCCGTTCTAGAAGTTTCCTGCGCAAGGAGAGGCCAGCAAGTGGGGCCTCGAGGTGTCTCCAGCAGGGATGGCCTCACGGGGAGTGGGGGGCGGCCTGGGCGGGGCTCTTTGGGACAGGATGCTCGCCGCACCTGCAGCCGGCGGGGCGAAGGGGAGGGGGAGGGGAGACAAGGGAGGTGTCGCGGGGGAACAAAGGGAATCCCCAGGTGTGACCGCAAAGTCCGGGTCTGGTCGCGGTTGAGCCTCAGGGAGGCTTCGGGACCGCGAGCAGCACGTGGCCGGCCCCCGGCGCCGCGTCCCGCCCTCGGCCGCGCGGGGGCGCAGGGCGCAGGCGCGCTGCCGCAGTGCGCGCGCGGCGGCGACGCCACTCCGGCCCGCCAGGGGCCGCTGTGGTGCGGGCGGGCTGGCCCGCGCTGTCGGGGCCGCGGCTCGCCGGTCCCTCTTGGGCACGGCCTTGCCGGTTTGGCGGGGTGAAAGGTTGCGAAGATGGCGACGGCCTTGAGCGAGGAGGAGCTGGACAATGAAGACTATTACTCGTTGCTGAACGTGCGCAGGGAGGTGAGGCCTGCGGCGGGACGCCGTCTGGGCGGAGGCCGCGCCCGGTGGCTCGGGAGGGCCGGGCTGGCGGCCACCGCTCCGTCCCCGCCACGGGCGGCCGGGACCCGGCGGGGAGGCCGCGTGACCCCGTCCGACATGCGCGACCGCCCGCCGACCGGGCGGTCCCCACCGCCCCGACCCTTGCGCTGGGGGCGTCCCGGCGGGCCTCTGCCCCTGCTCTCGGCGGCCGGGGCGCCGTGTCCTGGCAAGGCCGGAGCCCCCGGTGCCCCCAGGAGGGAGAAGGCTCCCCGAGGTGGAGGCTACTGGAGTGGGGTTCCCGGCCCTCCAGGACCCGGTGCCTCGTCCAGCTCACAAACTCACCTTGGCTGAGGGGCTAGGTCATCGCCCCCGGCCGGCAAAATGGGAAACTGAGTCTCAGGCACCAAGGTCAAGGCCACCAGAAAATCTTCCCACGGGGGTCTGTCCGGTTCCCGAGTATCCACGGGGACGTCCGGCTTCTGAAGTGAAGCCAGGCCCCGAGGTACGTGTCTTGTGGCCTCCTCTCCCCTGGGCGCCTGTCCCGAAATTGAAGGAAGAGCCTCCCGTACCTACAGTCTCAATTCGGAGGCCGCAGTTTAGGAAGAAGCTGTAAAGCCAGGAGAGCAGCGGTGCCCCCAGCCCGGGCTCGGCACGCGCGCCGCGTGCCACACGCCTTCAAGTGTTTGCACCCTGTTTCCTCACCCAATAAAAAGATAGAGTCTCACTCTGTGTCTGGCACATAGTAGGTGCCCAGGAAGTTTCCTTTCTTGTCGACTAGTGCAGTTGACATCAGCGTGAAGGGCAGGAAAGCTTCCAAGGTCAGGTCATAAGGTGGATCGTGTATCTCTAAGCTGCCGGGTTCCGTCTTCCCAGCCCTGCCGGAGAACCGTTAGTTTCACCTCTCAGTTTTCCCAGCGATAATAATTAGCCAAGTTTGACAAAGTTCTAGGCAAAGCCAGGCAAATACGTATTGTGCATAAATGGTGATGTGCATGGTGTCAGTAATAGCTAACTTTTTTTTAGTACTTTGTGCAAGGCCCCTGCTGAGTGCACACTTTACATTATATTAACTTGTTCATTTCTCACCCCAGCCCCTAAAGTAAGTATTATGAAATCCTTGATTTTCAGCTCAGAAAACCAAGGCAGAGAGAGGTTAAGTAACTTGTCCAAAATCACACCAGTACAAAGTGCAAGAGCCTGAATTCAGCCCTGGGAAGTCTGAGTGGAGCCTGGGCTCTGCTGCGGTAACCAGTCAGACTACAGAGCTGCCGGTTCTGGTACTGTGACCTTGGGCAACCGCAGAAAAATCCCCCAGATGTGTTAGCCACCAAGCATCACGAAAAATGAAATATTCCGGGGGAACTGCAAATCGTGTTATGCTGCCTGGAAGTTCTTGTAAGTAATAAACATTAAGGCTTGAGGTGAATCACTTCTTTGGCCTTGAGTTTTTTTCCCTTTGAATGAAGCTGTTTGGCTATCGTTACGTTTTCTCCAGTGCCTAGAAGCAAAGCAGTACATGAAACCAGCTTTTCTGAAGCTAGCCTTTCTCACCACTCGATTATAGTCTGCGTTACCAGTCATCAAGCAGCAGTGTAGCCATTTCCCAGGTTTACTGAATCTTAGGCAGCTGCCGATGATCAAAAAGCTCTAGAATAGGGGTGGCTGGGTGGCTCAGTCAGTTAAGCGTCAGATTAAGCGTCAGATTTCGGCTCCGGTCATGATCTCACAGTTTGTGGGTCCAAGCCCCACATCAGGCTCTGTGCTGATCGCTCAGAGCCTGGAGCCTGTTTTCGGATTCTGTGTCTCCCTCTCTCTCTCTGACCCTCCCCTGCTCATTCGTTCTCTCTCTCTCTCAGAAATAAATAAAACATTTAAAAAAAATTTTTTTAAGTTCTAGAATAATAGACTTGGTCAGAGTCCTTGGTAAGCATTTGTCAAAGGTATACACCTTTGAAACTACTAGGATCTTAGGACTTGTTGTTACTGGACTGACAAGTGGGAGCCAAAGAAATATTTATTTAACCCCCCAAAAAACTATCCTCTCCCGATGAGTTGAGGCACCTCTCAGCTGTAGGTGAAATACGTGTGAAACATGTTCTCTTTCTAAAGTCACTTTGTGTTCCCTGTGTCCACAAGCTCAGTGTAAAATGTCATCAGGTATGTGCAGATTTTATCTCTGAAGATTCTACTGAAGAGAAGCTCTGAAGGCGGTCTCTGGACCAGATATTTACTAGGATTTGTGTGTGTGTGTGTGTGAAATCAGAAATCCACCTGAAGTTGAAATAGCATGATTGAATTGGATAGTTAGAGGAAAAGAAGAAGTAATCTAAACTCTTAGATGTGGGGTTGGAAGGAGATAACACCTGTTTGTTTATTTGCTGTCAGTTTTACAGCTTGATGCCTTTAAATATGTCTGTAGGAGGCAAGATCCTCTTCCCACCAGAACTTGAGAGTACTGGGGCTCCTGGGTGGCTCAGTCGGTTAAGCCTCCGACTTCAGCTCAGGTCATGATCTCACAGTTTGTGGGTTCAAGCCCCATGTCGAGCCCTGTGCTGACAGCTCAGAGCCTGGAGCCTGCTTCGAATTCTGCATCTCCTTCTCTTTCTACCCCTCCCGCACTCATGTTCTGTCTCTCTCTCCCTCAAAAATAAATAAACATTAAAAAAATCTAAAAAAAAAAGAACTTCAGAGTACCTTCCAGAGGCTACCTTCAACACTGTGTTCAGGAAGCTCAGAGACTTCAAATGGAAGCAACCTGACACAAAACCAGGAAATTCTATTTAATTTTCAAAAATTCCAAGCATAGTACATAGTTATAATTGGAGTGATCTAGAATTGTCAAGAATCAGCTTACAGATCTCTTTTTCCAGGTTTTAAACTTCAAAATATCTGCTTGTATTGTATTTAAGAGAACGAAGCAGGCAACTAGACAGGACCAGATTCTTCTCTAAACAAGATCTGTGTGATCTTTAAGACTCCCTTTTCTCCAGTGTTCTGGATTTTCTGTTTGCAGAGTAGAGCCATTATCACACAGAGGGGAGGGAATAATTTATCATTAACTGTGCACATTGAAACCTGATTGGCATCTGAGGTTTAGCGCAGTCAAATGCGTTGTCATGCACCTGAAATCTAACTAATTTGAGATTTCTCGGATGATTTTCCAGAACTTAATTTGGAGAAAGGATTCCTGGCCAATCAGTAAAATTTTCTTGATCTTTATACATTTTATAGACATTTTATTCGGCACATTCTAAACTGAATATATTCCTTTTTTTAAGGCTGAATTTATTTCTAAGTAATTGACTGAAATACCTGCTTTATCAATGTGGCATTACCATTAAAAGAAGCTCTTTCATTTCTACGTATGACATTCAGCAGTGTTCCTAACCCATTTTAGGATCTTTGGTCCCAGTCAATTTAGCTTTCGAGGGGCCAGTCTCCTTCTCAGGTTTTGTTTTTGTTGTTGTTTTTTTTAATGTTTTATTTACTTCTGAGAGAGAGAGAGACAGCGTGAGCAGGGAGGGGCAGAGAGAGAGGGAGACACAGAATCCATAGAGGGCTCCAGGCTCCGAGCTGTCAGCACACAGCCTGACTCGGGGCTCGAACCAACGAACAGTGAGATCATGACCTGAGCCGAAGTCAGAGGCTTAACGGACTGAGCCACCCAGGCGCCCCTCCTTCTCTAATTTTAAACACTTTTTTAAAATACAGTTAAGTAACAAAATAAGCATACGTGAAAAGGTTTTTTCCTTGCTAATCCACACATGGAGGTCAGTCTTCTACATCAGCCTTGACACTAGGTTCGCAAAACTGTCACCTACCAATAAAAAGTTTTCCCAGAGTCCCTGTGCTTGTGTGTTCCCTGGCGTAGAGCACACTGTTCTTCCCACAGTGTTTGGTTGTCTGGGTTTCTCTGGCTGGAGGTTACAGTCACAGAGTGGGGCTAACCGTTCGAGCTTGGGCTGCAGGTGGGAAGAAAGGGCTAGAGCAGCAGAGGAGGGTCTACTGGGCACTGTCCAGATTGACACAGTCCAACAAGATGGCTCGGCTGGCTGTCTGAAGAAAGTAGAGCGTGGATGTGTGGGCTGAGCCAGGTGCACACTCCGGCCCCTGAAGCCGCGAGGTGGTGCTTACTCATCCGGTGCTTTTCTAACCTTGTGACGGGTGGGCCATTTAGCCGGAAGGAGGGACGGATATCAAGAAAGGTCTGGGAAGGTTGCTCCCCCAAGGAGTTTCCCATCTACCACCTTCTGTTCAGAGTTTGGTATTTATAACAGTGACTCTGCTTAAAATGTGTGCATTCGGGAAGTCGTGTTAAACCTTGGTTGTCCAAAAACCTATCTTATCCAGATGATCACATTCTTAAGGTGGCCTGTAAGCAAAGAGGCTGAGGAGCAAGGTCATTAGAAACAGGAGTTTCAGCCCACATTGCCCCTGGGTGGCAAGTCATTTAACCTTTTTTTTTTTTAAAAGTCATTTAATCTCTTAAAGTGTCCCATTTAGCCCTGCACTACAGCACTTCAGGGTTACTGAGAGAGTAGAAGAAGGCAGCACTGTGGCTTTGCAGCCAGAATGTCCTGTGTTCAAATCCCAATTTTACTATTGGCCTGAGCGGGTTCCTATCTCTGGGCTAGTAGTTTACTCTTCCTGTTTTCTTTGACATTGAGATGTAGGTAACAGGCAGTGATGTATCAGGAACTCACTGTGAGCCAGCATGCTCTGTACTGGAGTTTGGCAAGGTAGCAAGGATACGTACAAGTAGATGTTCGTTTAATATTTATTGTTATTTCTTGAATTTTGATAAAGCATGAGGTCTTGCTTCGTTTAAAAGGACATACGTGAGGGACGCCTGGGTGGCTTAGTCGGTTGAGTGTTCGACTTTTGCTTGGGTCATGATCTCACGGTTCGTGGGTTCAAGCCCCGCGTCGGGCTCTGTGCTGACTGCCAGCTCAGAGCCTGGAGCCTGTTTCAGAGTCTGTGTC